GGGGGGCGGCGACGGCTAGGGTTAGGGTTGGCGGCGGCTAGGCTCTGATACCATGAAGAAAATAGAGAAAACCCTAATTTTATTATGCAATCTCTTGGGCTTATATAGGCCCCTACAAAATACAACTTACAAATAAGTCCCTACATATTACTTATATGTCAACAAGGGGGGCGGCGACGGCTAGGGTTAGGGTTGGCGGCGGCTAGGCTCTGATACCATGAAGAAAATAGAGAAAACCCTAATTTTATTATGCAATCTCTTGGGCTTATATAGGCCCCTACAAAATACAACTTACAAATAAGTCCCTACATATTACTTATATGTCAACAAAATGACCATATTCTCATTGCTTATCCAGGAACAGGTTTAGGCGGAAAAATATGTTATACATAAATAAAACAAAATAAAAACTTGATTTCACAATAGAATAGAATTTAGGCATAGACCGTGTCTTTTTTGTAATGCTTTCTTGGTGTGACATTTGAATAGCATTTACGCTGTAGATGATCTGTTGCAGATGTTTATCAATTTGGTTGCAAATTCCACAAAATCTTATAGGAAGACAAAATATAACTTTCTACCAAATCTAAAATTCACAACAAACAACTACAAACTTAATTAGTTCTTGCACACCCAATCTCATAATATGAAAAGATGCAGGCTCTAAGAAATTAAACTATTGATGGAGAGACATTGAGAGAAATCATTTACAATCATTCAAGAAGTTCCAAACTTCATAACTAATCAAAGAACTAATAATTGTCTATCTAAAGTAAAACTTCAAGCTCAAATATTTAAAGGCAAGCATCAAACTCAAATCAGCTGAACTAATTTACCTTAGCATTCGTGAGGCAACTTAACCGAACAAGTCTGTGGAAATGCAACAGCAAACTCATTTTGACGCCGAACTCAGGAAGGGAGTAAAAAATGAGACAAATTCATTCAGGGCTCTTATCAATAAGAGAAGCTAAAGCAATACGGCAATTCTTACTATAGGCGCAGTCACACTAGATCAAGGAGAGAGAGAACAATGGTGAGACCATCGCATTTATTGGCGACTAACGGTGGTGAGGAGAAACGTCGGAGGAAGAGAGAAAATGGCTAGAGAGAAAGGAAGGAGAAGAGCTTGGCCATTTGTAGCCTTTTGAGAAAATAACGTAATTTGGAATGAGGATGATGTGTATATGCAAAAAGAAAGCTGTTTGAGTGCAAAAGATGGACAGCCGTTCTGTACCAGAAAATATTCTGTTAGTTATAAACTAGGTATCTTTAGTTAAGATTTTCAGAGTTGGTTTTTCTTTTGAAAAATTTGCTCTGTTATGGTGATCAGATTTGGAAGAAAAACGAAGGAATATTTCGCTTCATTGCGGGGATTCTTTTTTCTAATTGAGTCTCTGACTCGCGGTTACTAAAGGTATCTAGCGTATTATCTTAAATGATTTCCACCTATCGTATGCACAGTTTTTTGGTAGTGGCACATGAGTTTTAAACAATGTCCTCTGAAACCTCAAGATGGAACAAGTAACATTATTAAAATATCAACTAACTCTTCCTGTAGTCAAAATAGTGGAATTTGATGACGCTATTTTTAGTGTGATATGGTAAAAGCAATTGACTATTGTCATCTTGGTGGAGAGGAGATCAGAGGGGGAGCTCGGAGGGGAGGAGATTGGAGATCAGAGGCAGAGCTAAGGGAAGAGACTGGGGCAGAGCCTGGAGGAGAGATTGGGGGCGAGGTGGCGGAGGATTTGTGATTGCCACTCTGAAATCGCAATCGCCATTTTTAAGAGGCGGAGCCTTAATCCAGTATCGTAATACCAGGGGTGCTGATATTGGGTTTTAAAACAAAGTCCCAGTCCCACATATAGCCTAGTCATATGCAATACTAAACAAGGGATTAGGCCAAAGTCCTAGGAGTTTAAATCCTTGTCCCAGTCCCACGCTTAACCAAATGCTGCCTAAGTGTAGGGTTCTGAATCTTTGAAAACCTCTTTCCTGTCTCGATGTCTCCTCTCAACCTTTCTCATTGGTGCTAGTGTTGTGACTTGTGAGTTCTATGCTCACCTTAGAAGTGCCAGAAGAACACCTAAGGGTCCTTGGTACCGGCCTAGGCACTTGAGTGTTGGTACTATGTATGGCACTCAGTGCCCTATGCTATCTAATATATAACCTAGAACCATTTAGTTCTACGTAATCGAGCTTTGATCTGGACATACATTTTCAGAATTGTGAGGAACTGCATCCATGTTGTGGAACATTTATATATAGTTGACAAATAGCTAATGATGCGGATACTGATGAATTTGTTTCATTACGAATTCCAACATTGTTTGAAATTATCTGCATTTCAAGTTTTTCTTTTTTATGTGCTTTATTTTTCAAATTGATTTGACATATGACTTGAATGCTAATCCTATTTTTTTTCATTTATTTATTTATTTATTATTTATTATTTATTATTTTTGATATTCCAGTTCTTTGAAGAATTTAATTCGAAGCTGTTGTCATCTCCCAATTACATAACAAGAAGGCAAGCTATCAAGGTGGTGTTTCCTTTTTGTTGATTATCCTAATTTGCAGATAGTGGTCAGAGGAATAAATATTTCTTAATCATAACAATTGGACTATCTGATATAGCTGACTCAATTGTTTGCTTCAGTACTTGCAAACATCTGAAGTTTATAGTACATCAGATGTAAATATGATGACAGCTTTTCGATACCTCTTAATTTTTGACCTTAATATATGCAGAGTTGCATCATCTAATGCAACTTATTTTATCATCATTCTGGTCAAGGTATCTGATAGTTTGTCTTGCTATTTATTCAGCTTTTAGGGGATATTCTATTGGATCGATCAAATGCAGCAGTTATGATGCGATATGTTAGCTCGAAGGATAACCTTATGATCCTAATGAATCTTCTCAGGGTGTGAGATCTCTTCCACTTATTGCATGGCAGGATGTATCTGTTTAATTTACCTAATCATTATATTTCATGATTCTACTTCTCAATGGAAAGGTCTATCTTTAACATTGTAGTTGCTTCTTCTATATTACTAAACATTTAGGAAGCATGCTACTCTTCATTACAGGAAGACTAATTCTTCCCACTGCTTGAGCAGTTTAGTATCTGCCAAGTACGTGAAAGAATTATAATGTTACTTTTAAGCCTTAGTATCCCGGATAAATGCAATTAAATTGTACATGGTTGTAACTTGAATAATATTAGATTTTAGTTTTTTTTAATGTGTTGAACCATTCCTGACTATCAATTAATGCTAACATTCCACTCCATGTTTTTTTCCTTTCTGCGGGATACATTTTACATGCACAGACAAGCGCTATTGCATGTCTTACATGATAATGTTTGTTGTGTAACTGAGATTTTTCCATTTGCAGGAATCTAGTAAGAATATCCAGATAGAGGCATTTCATGTATTCAAGGTATTGCCGTTTGTTCATCTGTACTTAGCATGACCATTTAATCTTTCAAAATTTTAATTTTTAAGCTCCATAATTTTTGGCATTTTCACATCTATAGTTGTTTGTTGCAAATCAAAACAAGCCTCCTGAGATCATAACGATATTAGTTGCAAACAAGAACAAGCTTCTTCGCCTTTTTAATGACTTCAAGTTGGAAAAAGGTAGGTGATTTATTGAAGCATGTTCTAGTGGCTACAAGCAAATTGTTTTCATGAATTAGTTTCACTGATTCATATATGTATGGTTGTTTGTTCAAATTATTTCTAGTACATGCATCAACTTCTAATTCACAACGCCGGCTCTGTATTTATCCAGTATTGGCTATTGTATTTGAAAAATAAGGGTTTATTGCAGATACGCCAGCGGACAATATGGTTTAGCCACTTGTTGCCTAAACTTTTTATTCGCATTTGTTGAGGGATTTTTATTTGCACTTAAGTGACATGATTTCCAGGAAGAGTTATCTTCCCATTACCTGTCTCATGGCAAAAGACATTAATTTGTTGCCGGCAGATCCCTTATATTTCAGTGTGTTGCATATACACCCCCCTGTAGCATAGTTACTGATAGCTGAGGGATAACAGCACCAAGGGGTGTCAAGTGCTAATGAAAATGGTCAGAGGTATAAAGTGGGCAAACCCCTCTAGCACTAGGTTGTATCTGCAATTAACCATAAAGAGAAAAACATTCTTGAATTTCCTTCTTGCTTATGGATATGTGTTCATAATGATATGCAGAGGACGAACAATTTGAAGCAGACAAAGCGCAAGTTGTCAATGAGATTGCCACGCTGTAACATGGGAGAGACAACACTAGAACGAATCCAGCATGTAAATTGTTCTCTCTTAATTGGTCAATGTCATGAATGCATCGAAATTAAGTTTCTTGTCTATCCTCCCTCATGCTACTTGTACAACATCTTAGTCCAATAAATTTACTGTTTTGAAACTTCCAATCTGTTTAAATGATGGAGGTTTCATCGTTTTGTAAATTTTCTTTGATCGGTTATGCTACCATTGGAGGGGGCATTGTCATGAAAAGGATCATATTGCATGCCGTTTTCAGAAGAGCCTCGGGGCCAAGGAATCTAATTCTCATGAAAAATGCTGCTTGTTTATTTTTTAAACGTTGCCTCCAATATGTGCCTGTTTATAAATCAATAGAAGGATGTAGTTGTTTGAATAGAAGGAATCTTGAGAAGAATGTTCCCTAAAGATGCTGTAAGTAGACACTACGAAAAAGCGAGGAGATACGGTTGTTGGTATTCTATGGGACCCGAATCCTATTTGGATTCTCGTGCTTTTCAATGGGTATTTGCAAAAGTGCCCTTGAAACCTCAATTTTTGTGAACCCACTCTCCAAATCATAGATTTTGATAAAAGAAATGCCCCGAATCAATATATCACCAACTTCGTCACATGTAGTTAGTAACAATTTGATTATTTTGTTGATGATTTCACTACGCAGGCATCTCAGAGTTGACTTATTAAATTGGGGAGTATTTTTCAAAGTTAAAATAGTTTTGCAAATACAAAACTTTTAGGATAATTTTGCAAATACCTGTGATTTAAGAAGTATATATACAAATTACCCAAAAATTAAAGTGTAATCACATGGTAACCAGAAAAGTTAGCATATCTATATGAGCAGCTCAGATTATTATTGACGAGTGATCCCGAAATCTATTTATTTATTTTTTCCCTTCGAAATACTTGTGTAGATACAATCAGTAATAACAGAGTTACTCGTGTAGATACATAGACTCTAGGATCATTCGTGTGATTACGTCTAAATATAATTAATCAGAAAAGCATGTTTTTATGAAATCCGCTTTACATCTAAGCACCCCAATTCTTTTTGAAATATGCAAGCGGACTAACACAGTAGTATATAGGAGTTATTCTATAGCAATCTGTTAGTAAACGTTGATATTTTTTCCTTTTCGAATAAAAAACTTGCTTATTGATAAACTGATTAAGAAGATAGCGTCTCTTAATAATTGAATGTAAGATAAAGTAAACATGGAAGAGAAAAATCATGCAGCAGATATCAACACTATGAGACGAGTGTTTCACTTTGCTTCTTTCTGAAATTATTAGTGACGAAAAATTTGCTTGTATGTTGATTTGACAAAGAAAATAACACCAAAAAAAGGAATTAATCATATACAATATTAAAAAGGTTAAGAACATTTACGTACTCATCCCATTCCCCTAAAAATTAAATGATTTAATACGAGAGGTTACACTATACAAACTCTTCTACATTAAAAAGAACTCTTTTAAGAATCGGTCGGGCATTCAACAAGTGATCTATTTTAAGCACTTTCTTGATAAAAAAAAATAAATAAAAAGGAAAGAATTTTAAAAAGACGTTCTGTACAATTTATGTAAAAAAGAAAAGAAAAGTCTTCCCCGTAATATTCATAACAGCAGGGTCCTTATATGCAAAACTCCATCTATAAGTGTCACACGACCAATAGCCGTGTTTTCAGCTTCTCAGATCGATCTCAGGGAGGGAGAGAACGCTGAAAATGGCGGACAACGGTAAAGTATTCTCTTCCAAATTCAATTTTTCTAACAAAAAAGATTATGCAGTAGAATTACTTTGCTTCAATGTCGATCCTGAATTTTGTTTGGTTGATGATTAGATTCACTTGCGGAGTTTCTTGCTGTCGCTGTGGATGCTGCGAAAAGGGCAGGAGAGGTAATTTGAAACCCTAATGTTTGGTTTCTTTTTTTTTTCTTTTTCTAGATTTCAATGAAGTTTTGATTTTTCTGTTTTTAAATGGAAATTTCAGATTATTCGTAAAGGATTTCACGAGAAAAAGAATGTGGAGCACAAGGGACAGGTGATTCTTTTGTTAGGTTTACTGTTCATTTTTTCCCCATTTGCTTGAAAACGGTGGAAAATTGAAGTTAGAAAAGGATGATTAACTTTATAGCTTCTAACACATGAATTCTCTGCTCGCTGCAGTATATTTTTGTTAGGAGATCAGTGGAAGAGGCACTTTTAACTTTTTTTTTTAATGATCCTTTCTTGACATTTCGTGCTAAAAGTTTAGCTATGAAGGTTTAAGCTGGACGGAAAGTGTTATATATAATTGAGTAAACAGTGGTAGTGTGTCCCTCAATGAACTTGTCTAGTGTGTTGCTGGCATGACACGTCCAATTGCCACCTACAATCTGGGTATGTTGATGATCCAGGCCGTAGTGTTCTTAATGGGTATCATGTAAACAGCACACTGGCCAAGACCGTGGAGGAGCACACCAGGCGTTGTTTGCTGAGTATATTATATATAATGTTTCGATTATCATTGTTTTTCAGTTGAAAAGAAAATGAGAAATGTTGGGAGTGTGGGTCTTGTTATGTCTACTTGTATATTGAAAATTAGATCGGTTTTGGAAAATTGGATACTGAAGAGTATGAGCTTAGGGCTTTTTATTGGAAGAATGTGTATGCTAAGTCTACCATAAAAAGAGGCCTACTTATTTTCTCTTTCTTTTGTTTGTGTCGGTCTTTTCGGAATGTGAATGTACCTTTATTATCTGTCAGAACATAACAACAAAGAGGTGTTGAAAAGCTTATAAGGAGAACATGTGGCTTTGATATGCATACAAGAAAATGTTTCATAGTATCCATCTACCAATATAATTTTAGGCTCCGGAAAATGAAGGGCTGAGACATACACTTGCGTAATTTGTACTAATTTCCTTATCTTCGCACATGTGTCTTCTCATGCATCTGGATTATGCCTCATATCATACAAGCTAGTTGTTTGGGGCTATTTGCAGACCATCTTGCACTTGGTTTAAGTTCGAATTGATGATTTTGCATACAGTGACATTCATAATTCTTAACTTTGAAAGAATGCGGGAAACCATCTGTGTATTTTGTGGATTTTGGTTTGTATCTGTTTTGAAGATTAATTCACTGCTCTACATGTTGTATGACATGAAGTCTTACATTGCTTCGTTGGACCTAATATGAGGATTTGAAGAATCTGATTAATTTAAGGTGACAATTAAATGTAGGTCTATAAGCGTCTCATTCTTCTTGTTGTGGTCCATGGGACCATATTTAATCCTGCAGTCGTGATGATAACTGTATTCTCCCTTGGATATAGGTTGATTTGGTGACAGAGACAGATAAAGCATGTGAAGATCTCATATTCAATCAACTTAAGGAACACTACCCTGAACATAAGGTGAATAAGTCTACAGTCTGAGCTAACATCTTATCATACCGAAATGGTAGTGTTTGACATTTTTTTAACTATGTTCTTGTAGTTTATAGGTGAAGAAACTTCTGCAGCATGTGGAACTGCTGAGCTGACTGATCATCCTACATGGATGGTAGACCCCCTCGATGGAACAACTAACTTTGTTCATGGGTATCTGAAATTGCTTCCTTGTGAAGTATTTTGGTGTAATTTTTTCGATCTTCTTTTATATATTTTGATATGTTGGCACATTGCTTCCAGGTACCCCTTTGTGTGTGTATCTATTGGTCTTACTATTGGAAAGGTTCCTACAGTGGGTGTTGTATACAACCCAATACTCAATGAGGTACTTCCATTTTTTCTTGTTGTGTTACCTAATTGTTCAGATATTTCTGGTCGTGTGCTATTATGCCCAACTTAAAATGTTTTGTGGTTAGGCCCAACTTAAAATCCCTTCAAGTTCGCATATAAATTGAAAAACTGTTAGTCAGAACAGGCATATACTTTTACTCTTTTGCCTTCTTTATCCATAGAGACAGTTGTGGTCAAATAAATAGTGCGCAGGATGCTATTTCCCCAAAAACAACAATTAGCACTCAATTGTTTGTTAGTACTGTTCAAGAGAAGCCGTGGGGATTTGGGGGGTGGGTGGGTGGGTGAGGGCTAATTGACATTTTTCCAAGCTGGGAGTCTGATAGTTATCTTACCATATGTCAATCTTGAGGAATACAAGTGATTGCTGCAAAGTGCAAAGTAGGTTATGCATGCACGCATGTGTGTGTCTTTGATTTATTATTATTATTATTTTTTTTTTTTTGGGGTGGGGGTTGGGGGGTTGGGTGTGGGATCGTTAGATTAAGGGGTTTTACAGGAAGACAGTTCTCAAGGGTTCAAAAAGATTATCTTATTATTGACTGATTGATGAAGATGGTAATAGATATATTCACATATTATAGGTTATTTATTGAAAATCCTGAGAAAGAAAAACTTCATAAAGTTCAACTATAGTACATAAAATGTGTAAGAAAGGCATATATTATATTTAACATTTTCCTTGTAGTTTTTTTCCCTCAATACTTTATAATCTTAAGAGATTCAAGTTTGGGTTCAAATATTGTGTGGTTAGTATTATGTTTTATATTGAGTCAATTAGAACTCTTGCAATACCAGGCCAACTTTTTTCTGGTCTAACATCTTGCAAAGCAGATTATGTTTTTGTACAATAAAATTCTTTCTGTCTTTTCTATATAATAAGAGCAAAAAAGACTCAATACATAAAATCCTGAAGCTTTTGCCCACTGTATTCCGACATATTTGTACTAAAAGTTCAAACATTATTATCTTCCCAGTGCTATTTAGTTTTACATTATTAGTTTTATCTTAATTGTGAAATTATGATAATAACTTTTGATGTAATTTACATCTGAAATAAAATTATATAAGCTGTTTTACAATTTATTCCTCTGAAATAAAACCATGCAATCTGATTTGTAGCTTTTTACTGCCATCCGAGGGCAAGGTGCTTTTTTGAATGGATATCCTATAAAAGGCAAGAACTCTGCCCTATAACCAATCAGCTGTTTAATATTTCAAGTCAGAGTGTTTGACTCCAGAATTCTAGCATGTTTTTTTTTTCATTTAATTGACATGGTAATGATGTAAAATTTAATTTGTTCAGCATCATCCCAATCTGAGCTGGTGAAGTCCCTCCTTGCAACAGAGGTACACACATTTAATATTTTCTTCAGAATGCTGTTGAATTTTGCTTCTATGCTCATTGCCTTTTGCAGGCTACTATTTTTGACTCCATGTCTATGACTACGATTCATGTCTTTTTTTTTCTGATAATAAAGTATTGATTTACCATTTTGTCCGAAAAGGCTATTTTCTCTATTTTTAGTAGCCACCTGATTTTTTTCCTATTCATGTTTGGTTAGGTACACTGAATCTTTGTAACTCCACCTACAATCACTCCTAACTTATGTATGAAGCATATTTCTCATGTCGACCACTCTTTAATTTTGTTGATCTTCTCACCAGTTATTAGGAAGGATGATATCTTAGTAACTACTGAGGAAGGTATGTAATCAAGGATCTGTTTTAGTGTGAATAATTAATTTCACTTTTTTATGGTCATGTAATTGTCAATAAATTGACTAAGAAAGTAAGGGATAAATATGCTTCGAGTATGGAAAATTATGTGCGATAAAGAACAAAAAGAAATTTCAGTTATTTTTTAATGATGAAGAACGCATGGCTGATGTTGTCGAGAATATAGATTGCTCTCTTTAAAAGGAGATTTTTCCAGATAGTTTAAGGCTTTTCTATTTAAAGAGTGGAACAAGGTTTCTAAGGTTCTGTCTTGGGTTCGGTAGTTTCTTAGTTTGTTTAGGACCACAAGGTGATATATTGTCTCATAAAGTTTTAGCTGGTAAGCATTTGCATCAGTAGATTTAGGTCTAGTTTCTGACTAGTTCTGCGCAGTTTCGGTAAATTTTGGATGTAACTTGATGAATCCTACTGAAATCTAGGGAAACATATGAGAAAAATTCAAAAGTAAAGGAAGAAATGGAGACTATTCCTTCTAGTTAATACTTCATATTTTTTTAAGTCCTATAATTACCCCAAATCCGAAGTCTATTCAATATTTTTTGCTATATATTTACACTAACTTTGATATGGTCTTAGTTTTTCTTGAAATAGACATCCATACGAATTTGGATCATTGTTTGTTACTGGTTGAAAATTTACCACTCATCTTTTTTGTAGCATCATATTGTAGCTTTTTAGATCACTGGAGGGAGGTAATAGTTTCCTATCAAAGGTTCTAACAAAAAAGATGAGTGGAATTTATTCTGAAGAGCTTGGAAATTTTTTTTGCAGCGTCATATTGTAGCTTTTGATATGCAGGCTTTGGAAGTTTATTATTCATAAAGCTAAAAGCAATTGGTCTTTGATGAAGCAAAATCCATCCGTATGAAGGCTACAAGTTCTTAGTAATAAATGCTTTAATAAACACATGACTCTTACCTAGGGATATTGAAATTACATATATAGAGAGTTTCTAGTAATAATCAGAATGGGAAAAGACTTTAGGCTACTACATGTTCCCACGCAAAAGCGTAACTTGCATATTGTAGTCCGGTCAGGATTGTCTCCTCTATGCATGAAGTGCACTTGTTCATGCATAATATTTTTCTCTCTCAACTCTCAAGGGCAGATTGATTTAAAGTTATCAATTAAATTTAAGAGGGCATCAATGGGATATCACAAGTATTCACGAACACCTCTATGGTTTCATCCACAATAATCTGATTGTCTACATGCATTACACTTGTCATAGTACTAGTAAACAACCATGAGCAGTATTTAACCTACATTTATATACATTTGAGCAGGTTGGAACAAAGCGCGATAAATCAACAGTAGATGCTACTACTAATAGAATTAACAGCTTACTCTTCAAGGTAAAATTCGAACTGCTTTGACCTCATGCAATCTGGTTATGGAGTTAATTTTATTTTTAATTTTATATTATTATTATTTTGCTATCAGGTGAGGTCCCTTAGAATGAGCGGTTCTTGCGCTTTAAACCTTTGTAGTGTTGCATGTGGTAGGATTGATCTGTTTTATGAGCTTGGATTTGGCGGACCTTGGTAAGTTTGTTGAATGATGACCTTTTATTGTTCACTGATGGCAATTTTATTTTGAAATCTTTGTTGATTTTGCTTCCATTGCTTGGGTCTCAGGGATGTGGCAGGTGGGGCTGTCATTGTTCAAGAAGCTGGAGGTTTTGTGTTTGATCCGTAAGTGCCATATAAGAGTAATTAAGTTTGATGATTATATAACAGGCAAAAGAAAGTATTATATGTCATTGGTCAACTTTAGTTATAGGTATATCTTGACAAACATTTGTTTTCATCAGGAGTGGAGGAGATTTTGACGTAATGTCTCAGAGAGTTGCAGCTTCAAACGCCCATCTGAAGGATTTATTTACAGAAGCATTAAGGGACTCAGGGGTTACTCAATAATCTTGAAGTTCTCCTATTCTATTTTGATTTGTTCATTAACAGTAAGGATGGTCTTTAGAACCTTCTGCTTTTCTTTAACTAGATAGCATTGATGAACATTCTCGAATATTTAGGCAGTAGATATACGATATATGAATGATGTGCTTGCCTATAGACAATGCATATATTATTCTTCTACATTCATATATGATGTATGTGATTTGAGCCTGTAAGATGGCATTTTCTCCAAATATAAAGCTCATCATTCCTATTTTTCAGTCTTTTAACTCCTGCTGACAAGAGCTTTAATTTATTATTATTATTGGAGATAAGTTCATATATTCAACTTTATTTATGGGTTATATGCCCTTCACTACCCCAAAGTTTCACCATTTTTAACTTCGATACCCCTGAATTTATAATTTGACATTTTGATATGCAAAACTGCGTAGAAGTTGACACTAATTTTGTTGAAGAATATCAATATAGAAATGTGAATGAGAAACGATTTTTTGTTTACCGAATTCAGTTTTGTAAGTTCAAGAAAGTGAGGAATAAAGTTAAGCCTTTCGGTATCAAATTATAACATCAACTTGAAAACTTTGTGGGAATCAGATAGTCAAAATGGAACTTCAGAGTATCAATTTGAAAATTTGGAATCCGAAAGTGCAGATAATCCTTCACATTTTATAATTGACTAATTATCCTTTCCTACAAAAAGAGAAGATTAGCTGTATCTGGTCACCTCTTAAGTTTGAACTTGATATTTATTAGTTGGACTGCGCATATGGTGAATAGTCTCAAAAACTTACAGGTGGGAAGAGTGAATAAACAATTTTGGGTCATACCTTATTTAGGCCAGAGCATCTTTCAACCTATCTAGAAGTATCCTTCATCTACCTCAGCTTTGCCAAGATTGTAATCAAAGCTGTCCCTAAATCAAAGTTTAGCATTCTCCTTCTAATTTTTATCGTAGAGCGGGGGATCAAGTCAGATTCCAATTGAGCAGGTGAGATTGGTTGCAGGTAAAGACTATCGTTTTCCACTCTGTAAACTTTACTTTCCTTTCTCTACTGAATCCTTGAATAACAAGAGTTATTAGTTGTTGGTTACATCTTGCAGAGAAAATCTCTTTGGAGGGGCCCTCTGTAGAATTTTAGTATAGAAAGGGAGGAGAGGGTGACATGTGGCATGTCAATAGTTATTGTTAGTGCCGTAACCCATCTATCAATGCAATCAGTAACCGCACGTTATTGGCTGTACTGATAAGTCATTAGTAATATGTGCATCAGGATCTGTGCGATGTCATCTTTTTTTCTACTCTCTGTACCATATTTTTATAGAGGCCTTGTGTATGAATTTTTTAAATACAGGTCTTCAACCTTTTGATTCCTAAGAACTCACCTTCATTTTGTCAAAAAACCCTGAACCTTTCTCTCAGTCTAAAATAAACAATGACCAAGACGCATTAAACATTGATATAGTATTATTGTACTCCATGGGTACGCATCGTCTTCTCCCTAGGTTCTTTAGATGCTAAGCTTGCTTGAAGGTTCAGGATTAGGAATAAAGTTTTTGTCCTCTTCTCTATACCTTTCTATTTGAAAAGATAGCACAAAATAGACTAAAGCTTACTCAAAACACTTAAAAAAAAAGCCGCTGAGGGTAGGCTACCTAAACATTATAATCTAAGGATGATGTTGTCATGATCTCATATTTAGCTTTTTTTTTTGAAGAAATTCTCATATTTAGTTACAGTTGCCTATGGGTGAATGACTGAATGTCCTTTCATGTTTTGACAAATTCTCCAAGGAGCAGTTGGTCTTAGATTTGTTTAATTAATTAATGACGACAGCAAGAGCTCCTAATTGGCAGTTCAGATTGAGTCAAATGAACAAACAAAACAGCTCATAAATGTTCACCAATATGAAAAGAAAGTTCAATGTACTATTCATAATAGTCCAATAGGACCAGCTAATGACAACTGGGAAAGCAAGGAAATCTATGAAATTCCCAATAACCTGCCCATTTCTTTAGTCTTTGTTAGAGATACGATCAAAGTTCTTGACCTTAATCACTATCATATATTCATGGTTTCTCTGTTTGTCCCGCAACGGCTTAGGTGAGAGCCGGATGCTATTACCAAACTCTGAGTTTGTCTGGTTCCTACCAAAGTGCCATGTGGAGATTATACCAAAAATTGGAATATACAAATTAATCAACCAACCAAAAAGAAAATGCATAACTAGTAATAAAAAAAAAAGAATTGATAATAGTATAGGATGGGATAGACAATCTCAATAAATATCATGATACATGGCACAAAAAGTGGGGAAAATATGATAAATAAAGTGAAAAAATGGCAATCAAAGCTATGCCGGGGAGAAATCTAGTCTAGTATACTAAGAAAGAATAACAGTAAGTACAACAACCGGACCCCTGCAAGGATGTATAACACTAGAATATCAGTCCGTCAACTCCTATACACCATAGCCATTGTTAGTACCATTGGCGCCATGATGAGATTTCTCATTGCTCCTCGATCTCCTCTTCAGAACAATTGTCCACGTAATGGCTTCCAAGAGTAAAGCAATTCCTCCAAGAGTTGCGATAATGGCAATGTAAGCATGTTTCCACCCTGATTCTGGCTTCAAGATATCGAAACCCTTGAAGACGTTGATGACACTTAGGATTATAACAGTGTATCCAACTGCATGGTGGTATATATTCCAGTAGAGTCGGAATTTGTGGTCCTTGTTAGGCCTCAGAAGCAACGCGAAAACCTAAGGATGCGAAAATATTACTTCAGTTTGAATGGCGGTCGCATGCATATTACATCGAACTTTACTCTTGGACTGAATTAAAATACATTGAAGAGATGTAGACGTGACTAAACATTACCTATCAATCTAGAAGGAGAAATTTCTTATTTGCCAGGTTTCTTATTTGCTCTTGTGAGTCTAGAATGAAACTGGGTGCCAGGTTTCTTATTTGCTCTTGTGCATGTGTTGTATCTGGCCTCAGATAAGAACAGAACTACCGATGGTAAAAACTGTCATTTTTCCAATTTCATCTAGACCCAGTGCTATAATAGGAGAATTTGTATGATTCAGATTTCTCGTCATTTATACACAGACAGCGGGAATTGGACATGTTTTAGTCTAAGGGCCCGTTTGGTTTGACAAAAGTGCTGGAAGTAGAAAATAGATCAAAGAACTAACTTCTAAATTTATGAAGTACGGAGCAATGAAAGTAACTAATAAAGGAAATATTAATAAGAAAAAATATTTATTTCCTAAATTAATATGCGTTTCACCTACTTCCATATTTTGGAAGTAAGGATGACACGTAAGCGCTACATCAGCGTTTAAGTATTGGAAGTAGGTTTTTCCATGGAAACAAACAATTTTTTGCTTGGAAGTAGCAGAAGTAGCATCTACTTCATTTACTTTAGCTTAGCTACTTCATAATTACTTCCGTGCAAATAAACAGACCCTAAAAGTGAATCCAATTCAAGAACATACAAGGATATTTATATTTGGGATGAATCATTACTGTCATAGATATAATGAGAAGATCCAAACCAACAAAAAATTAGGATGTTTCTGGTGTTTAGATCATATGACAAATAAGGTATTTCCCTCGAGATGGCCATTTGGTGGTCTGCAATCGTACTGGGTATGAAAAGTGTAGGATATTATTATGTAAAACAGGGTATATTAAAATGTACCTGCAGAGTACCCAAGCAGAAGAGGGTTATTCCAATGTTCCTATGAGGATTGTAAGTTATTCCCTTCGATTCGCTGCCGAGCTTAAGTCCAGTTCCCCATCCAGCAACCCCAACAATGTATGCGGAGCACTGACAAGCAATATGGAGATAAAACCAAGCAGGATCAGCCGACTTGAACACCTTCAAGTATCTGGCGATTATAGCTCCAATAGGCAACAGGATACCCCAGCTCACAGCGTTCAGAATCCCATGAGTCTGCAGGCAACGAACCAAGTTTATTATGCATGTGCTAAGTTACAATAATTGATTGTCTCGGGCCAAATTCCACAAAAGCGTCATGAATTATCAACAAATCTACTGGAAACTAATTCAGAATCAACAGGAAAAGGGAATATATGAAACAACGTTAATTGTGCAGTTCAAAATAATAACCCACTTACGTTCTTCCTGTGCTGTCTAGAGTCACCGCTGCCGGCGGCTTCCCCGGACAACAAATCCAAGGTCCCAGCAGGACAGTATAGTTATCCCCAGCTTGTTCGGTGCCCCGCGGGCACGCCCTGGCGAGTCGAACGAGTTCCCCTTTCTGCCAAACCTGGTTCACCCTCGTCCGTTCTTGGGCACCTGGATGCTCGCGTATATCGTCATTCGCCCCGCCTCCGAACTCCGCCTCCCTGCTATAAACCGTGAAGTCCAGCGGACTCGTTCCTGATGGTGGGGGGCGTATCCGTCGAGCTTCGTGAGTAGACTGTTAAGGAGCCGTCGGAGGCCGGGAAGGCGATGAGGGCCTCCGGAGTCTTCATGGTTGCGGAGACGCGGGTTGGAGGGCCCAGGGCTACCCAGCGGAGGAGGACTGGGGGAGCGGTAGGCGATGTCGGCGGTGGCGTTGGAGGGTGTGGTAGGTCCAGTGGAGGGAGCCCCGAGGCGGGGGAGGTTGCTGCAGAGGGTGTAGGCTCTGTTGTTGCTGAAGGGTGCCTGGCCGCAGTGCTCTGGCGGAGCGGGTGGATCGAAACAGGAGATAGAGAGGATACGAGGAGGCAGGAGAGTGGGGAGACGTTGTCGTCGGTTCATTGTTGAGTTTGAGGGAGGGGATTGTTGAGTTTGAGGGAGGGGATTAATGTTTGGGGGTGGGGGGTAGTTGAATGGGGCTTTGTTGGCTCGGGGGAGGGAGGAGGAAGGTTCTCAGTTTGTGTTTGTTCGGTACCTTTTTCTTGGTTTTGAATGGAGGCGTGTGATTTGAGTAGGTGGGGTTTTATAGAGAGAAGAGGGGCCTGAGTTTCCAAGGTTTGATAGCAAATAAACCCTACAAGGCTACAAGGGTAAAGACCGGAGCCTTGACGACTAACTCGTAAGTTTTGATAGCAACTGACGAGCAAGGATTCCACACTTTTTCTTTCGTGTAGAGCAAAAAAGCGGTGTAGAGTTTGTCACTAATAAGCATAGACATGTGTCAAGATTATTATGTATTCATCACCTTAATCCCTATTTTATTTTCCATAGAGTATTCCCCATAGGATTCTTTTCCGCTGGGAGGAAACAATAGTAGACAGG